CTGCTGTTCTTTGAGGTGGGGATGGGGTATTTGGTTATTCTGCTGTTCTTTGAGGTGGGGATGGGGTATTTGGTTATTCTGCTGTTCTTTGAGGTGGGGATGGGGTATTTGGTTATTCTGCTGTTGTGGGGGTTTTTTCGGGGTTGTTGTTCTGTGGGGTTGTTTTTACAAATGAACCTGTGAAAGTTCAGTTTACTCTTAACTTCTTCAAAGCATAATAATTCCTGTGTATAGTTAGTTTTCTTTCAAGAAGAGGAAGTGTAGCTGTGGTGGGGAAGAGAGACTGTCCTATGAGTTCAGATCTTTGGCCAGAGAGGCTGTCCTCTGTTCTAACTGTCTGCTCTATCTCTCTGTTCTAACTGTCTGCTCTATCTCTCTGTTCTAACTGTCTGCTCTATCTCTCTGTTCTAACTGTCTGCTCTATCTCTGTTAGTCTTCTTCCAAGCCATTTTCGCCCTTGTAAATGTATCCCCTGTCGAGGGAAACCAATCTATAGCTCGATTGATTACGTTATCGATGCAGAGATTGATATACACCGAAATTGATTAATTCATTGTGCTGTCGTCCGTCGGTAGAATTGATTTGCAGACACATTAATAGATTTGTTTTTGCGAGCCTTTATGGATTGCTAAGCTGGATATCGTCATACCTCTCTCTTTTATAACACGTCGTTATACCTCTCTCTTTTATAACACGTCGTTATATCTCTCTCTTTTATCACACGTCGTTATATCTCCCTCTTTTATAACACGTCGTTATATATCTCTCTCTTTTGTAACACGTATGTACTTGTACACACGTGATCCCATATGTGAAACAGTCCAAGTTTGGGGAAGGGAGAGGTGGAACAAGAAAAAAAGGGGAAGGGGGGGGGGGCGAGGTGGTGCAAATAATTAAATAGGTTCATTTCGCTCGGGTAGGAGTATGTGTCCCTATTTTGGTGATGTAACACTGATGAATCCAAAACAACAACTGCATTACTTTTATTGATCTAAGACGCGAAATTTGTTTGCAATGGCGGGTATATATAAAATATATTTTAAAAGAAATTATTCAGCGACATTACCTTCCTATAATACAAAATGTCACTCGTATATAGACAATCTTATCCTCTCATACACATACACACAGACACATACACACAAACACACACACACACACAAACCATTGTTGGTAGACACTGAACAACGCTCTCTCCTTGAGCAAGAGTTATCACGTTTTGCAGGACATTCACCTAATTATTGTGTCCCTGACATCTGCAGAACCACTAGAAAAAGACGATTCTTTGGCCTCATAAATAAATCAAATGGACTAGAGAAACTGCTGCTGTGTGGAGAAATAGAGGGAAAGAAATGAAGAGCAAAGAAAAACAAAGAACAACATACAGTATAACACGGGTTGGTCGAACACAGAAGACTCGAAATCACGCATCCGTCGAACTGTGTCTGCGCTCCCGTTTTTTCTTTCTTCTGCTTCTTTATCTTTGTAAGATATCCCTCAAACTACGGATCTCTCGCACTACAGAGGCCGGTCCCGACGAATTTGACCTAGATCTATCCGTGTTATGCTGTACACAGAGATGGCCTGAACAATTTTGCAACTAATAACACTTTCTAAGAGAAAAACCTAGCTGATCTATCCGTGTTATAATATACACAGAGGTGGCATGAACAATTTTGCAACAAATAACACTAAGAGAAAAACCAATCTGATCAAGAAGACAGACAACAGGGAGGAATTGGGTACCGTGATCGTCTATGTCTGCTCCAGACCTGACACCTGAAGAAGAGGACGTCTACATACTACACAATATTACGTATTTACTACACTCAACAATGATTTGTTTAAGACGTTGCCAACACAAGGCTCATATAATGATATAGTAAAAACCCTTGCCATCCTAGGCAAAGGCCTTTTTACGGAAAACCCAAAGAAACCGGGTGGTAAACATCGCCGATAGGCGAGATGTGATCTCAAAGTGTTTTTAATTAATGCCCGTAAAGGTGTACTTGAACCTCCACATTCTTTAAACAAAAAGTTCAAAGCGTCTCTGACGTATGCCATTACGGCGATCCACAAGGGGAGTGGAAAGCCTGTATTGTCTTGTAGGCATAGAGTTATCTCCTTTTAAACCCTATAGTGTGCATCTATGGTTGTAGGTCAGTTAATAAGTTGGAATGGAGGGCTCAAGTAGACGTTTACTGTAATCTCTATCTTTTCCTCCTTTTTTAATAACTTGACTCCTATAGCACTTCACAGAAAGCTCTGCCTTCAGAATAAATCAGTTGTGTTCATCTGAAAGTCCAGTTCTTGTTGTAAGAAGGAGAAGAAAGAGCGTTCAAAAATTAGTCTTTAAGCTGTGAATGGTTTTTAATTTTTAAGACAAATTGTTCCCCAGTCAACAACGAATAGCGACTGCTCTTCTCAGGTCCACTGATGAATATTACAAACAAACAAAGACAAACAAACAAACGGACAAATAGATAAATAGAAACGAAAGTACATATTAATGAATGACTTCAAATGATAAGTACATTTTATATATGTATATAAATATACCTTCACACACAGTTAGGTTTTTAGATACTTTTACATTGCAAGACCCCCCTCCCTCCCTCATCTCAGGTCACACACAAAAGTTGATTGTTCGGCACTGCGCTGCGCAGTTATGCTTATTCATACAGGACCTCCAGGAAGCAAACCAAGTGGTCAATCGTCCACAGTTGCCAATTACGGCTAGCCTCACAGACAGAGAATGTGTAATCCCGTCCACAATGCCCCCCTCCCCCCCTCCCAGACAGGGCAGTGTTACTGACTTCAGTTTTCTTTAGGTCTTTTCCAAAGCGGGGTATTAACATGTACTTATG